ATGTAAATATGATCTCAAAATTTTTTAAAGTAAAAATGCAAATTAAAATAATAAGAAGTAACTATACACCAATTTAAAAAGTGAAAATCCAATATTTCAATGCAACCAACTACTGAAAAAATGTGGACTGAGTTTTTATTTACTGCTGGGAGAATGCGAAACGGCATAGCCACTTGGGAAGAAAGTCTGGCTGCTTTCTACAAATCTAAACTTACTTTTCTTAAAGGATGCAACAAGCATAGTCCCTGGTATTCCCAAAGGAATTTAAAAAACAAAAACTTTTGTTTTTAAAAAAGCCTACAAACAGATGTATACAGTAGATTTATTCATAACCACCAAAACTTGGAAACAACCAAGATGTCCTTAGTAGCTGAATGTATAAATAAACAGCAGTGCGTTCAGAATGTCAACTCTCTCGCAGTGCTACAAGAGAAAGGAGCTGTTTACCCGTGAAGAAAGGCAGAGGAAACTGAAACACATATTACTAAATGAAAGAATTCAACCTAAAAGACTTCATTTAATGGTATGGACATTCTTAAAAATGCAAAACTATGAAAACAGCAAATAAAGAGATGAATCCTTGCAAGAAGCCTAGTGGAAAATGGTGGGGGTGGGGGGAATAAGTAAAGCACAAAGAATTTTTTAGGCAGTGAAAATACTTAATGATAGATGGTAGATATCTATGCACTTATTTAAAAACCTTAGAATATGCCACTCTACTAAAAAGAAGTCTGTTGTAAATGATGGGTTTGGAGTGACAATGATGTGTTAATGTACGTTCAAGATTGTAACACGTGTGCCACTTTGGCACAGGACTGTAGAGGAGGGGTGTATGTCAGAGGCAAGGGATATATATTCTTCCCATTTAATTTTGTTGAGAACCTAAAATTCCTCTGAAAAATAAAGTCTTGTTTGTTTGTTTTGGTTTAGTTTGGTTTGGTTTAGTTTTGGGTTTTTGAGACAGAGTCTTTCTAATACGTAACCTTGGCTGTCCTGGAACTCAATATGTAGAACAGGCTGACCTCACAGAGATTCATCAATCTCTGCCTTACAGGTTCTGGGATTAAAGGCATGTGCCATCACACCCTGCTAAAGTCTAGTTAAAATGATGCAATTTGGAATCCTAGAATGAAGTCCCTGTAACAGCAAAAGAACATTAAGGAAAAAAAAAACACTGACGGTAATTTCTTACATTAAATAATTAAAGTAACACATTTATTATTAGCATTAAATTCTACTATTTTTGCTATTTTTCTATTCATCTAAAGTCATTTTAAAATAAAAAGCTTAAAATTACTGCTTAAATTCCAGTTTAAGCATACAGAACATAAAACCTTCACTTCTTCAACACTGATATCTATGTAGTACAAGGCATTCTTTTTCAAAGGACTACATATAATAAAGCCCTCGTGGCAATTAACTGCTAATGTGACATTATGCTCAGTTAATATTAACTGTGATCACAAAACTGCTTTTATCTGGATGAGATCTAGAATCATGTGGGGATCTAGAATCATCTTGGGGTTGGTGAGATCAACCTTTGGGGATGTAGTATGTTGATGAGAGGCCACCGGTAGGCATTATCATTCCCTGGGATAGGATCCTGGACTATATAAAAAGGAGGAAGGGAGGCAGTAAGAAGGCTCAATCCATAAAATCATATGCCTCCAAACCTGACAATCTGAGTCCAATACGAGGAACCCACAAGATAGAAGGAGAGAACCGACTCCCACAAGTTATCCTTTAATGTACACACATACACACATAATCTTTTTTGGGGGGAGGGGAGGTTCAAGACAAGGTTTCTCTGTAGATTTGGAGCCTGTCCTGTAGCATGAGGGCCGGCTTGTTGGGGTATCTGTTCCCGCCCGGTACCCCACAGTCAGCAAGTCCCAGAGAAAATCACACACAGGACTCCATAAGATACCCCAACAAGCTGGCCCTCATGCTACATATGGCACCCACGTGGATAACTGCATCCACAGAAAGCCTGAGAAAGCTTGGGAAAGAATAGAGTAAAGCATGTTTTCTTGGTAGCAGCAATTTCTCAGGTCTGCTCTGCTTGCTAGAGGCAAGCAAGTGCTCTCATCTAAGAGAGGCTTCCTGACTCAGCTTTAGCTGCAAAACTTTGTAGCTCATTAAGAGGTCCTGCCACAAAACACTTAAACGGTGTTGATGAAAAGCTGAACGCATGCTTTTCGGGTTTTCAGCTGTAGCAGGAAAAAAGCTGTGCTGTTTTAAAATGCTGGCTTTCTGGGCTGTCCTGCCAGGGCAATCTCTGACTCTTTCAGGCAGGCAGTCAGACTGAGTGTTGTCTGTAAGCAGAATGCTGCAGCTTGCTGGCAAGGACCTTGAAACGCCATAGAGTTGTGGCAGTGAACACAGCTCTGGCTGGTATCTCAGCCATGAGACTGGAAAGCTAAGGAATGGGCTGGATCTAACTGTCAAAGCTATGGCTTTGGTTCTACCCATTAAAGACTCATGTGGTCAGAAAAAAGAGAGATATACAGTAAAGAGAGATTCAAAGACGAAGAAAACCTCTAAATGGTTTACAGTGTGTTAAAAATACATGCAGGCTAAAAGGTTAAAGTCATTAAAAATAAAAAAGAAAGAAAGGGAGATATAGGGTGTGGTGGTGCACATCTTTAATCCCAATGCCTGGGAGGCAGAGGCATATTGACCTCTGTGACTTCAAGGGACAGAGGTAGAGATTGACCTCTGTGACTTCAAGGTGTGGTAGCACACGCCTTTAATCCCAATGCCTGGGAGGCAGAGACAGACAGATCTCTGTGAGTTCAAGGTGTGGTAGCATACACCTTTGAGCCCAGCACTGGGGAAGCAGAGACAGAAGGATCTCTGTGAGTTCAAGGACAGCCTGGTCTACAGAGTTATTCCAGGACAAAGATATACAGAGATCCTGTCTCAAAAAGTAAAAGTAAAAATAAAAGAAATAGAGGTTAAAATAAAGATGGAGAATATACAGAGAATCTTGATACTGTATGCTATTATGCTCTCTTTGAATTGTTTGAATGCTGAGGAAGGAGCAACAGCTGCTAAAAGACTTTTGTTTATAAATGCTGCTGAACTAACCCATGATAGGTATTTTGAAAATACCTTGGCTTCAAAATTGAAGTCAAAAGGTATGTTACTTTGGAGAAGAGATTTTGGTTTTGTTTCCACAGAAAATGAGAGGCTGTGGATTCATTCTGAGTTAAGAAAAATCCAGTTTGACAAAGGATGACCACCCGAGAAATTCCCGATAGGAACAGATGGCCCGGATGTCTGAGTTCTACATCCAGAACTGATTCAGGACTGCTGCCTGAGATGATCGAGACTCACAGGATACCCCAGTCAGGACTTGATTATAACTCTAAATTTTCTTTAGGTACCCATAAGATCATCAGCGCCCCCAACCAGCAGGAAGTAGCCTGAAATACTACGCCCACATTCCCAACAAATGGACTATGGGTATTTTCCTTTGTTTAAGAAAAAAAAGAGGGAAATGGTGTGGGAGAATTATCTGTATTCTGTCAATCATATTTTAATAAAACGCTGATTGGCCAGGCAGGCAGTATAGGCGGGAAAGCCAGACAGGAAGTAGGGGTGGAGCAAAGAGACTGGGAGTATTCGAGGAAGCAGAAAGCTTCCTCTGCAGTTCTGCCCAGACCACCAGAGAGGAAAGATGTAAGCTGCCCCACTGGAAAAGGTACCGAGCCATGTGGCTAACATAGATAAGGATAATGGGGTAACATAAGTTATAAGAGCTAATAAGTTTATAATCTTATGGAGTCCTGTGTGTGATTTTCTCTGGGACTTGCTAGCTGTGGGGTACCGGGTGGGAACAGATACCCCAACAAGCCAGCCCTCATGCTACACTGTCCTGGAACTAGGTCTTATAGACCAGGCTGGCCTTGAACTCATAGAGATCCATCAGCCTCTTCCTCCCAAGTGTTGGGATTAAAGGCGTGTGCCACCACTGCCCGACTCATAATTCTTTTTTAAAATGCTAATTTAAAGGAAAAGGCTAGCTGACGAAAGCATTTATCATTGTCTTCCTCCTGACTGTGATTGCAACAGGGTCAACTATTTCAAGATTCTACTACCTCACTCCACCTGCCATGATGTACTTATTGTACCTTGCACTGTAAACCAAAATAAACAACCATCCCTTCTTTAAGTTTCTTTCTGTAGACATTTTATTATCTATAAATTAGGATGTGTGTGTACCTACATGTAAGCAGATACACAAATGACAGAGGTGACAGGTCCCCTGGGACTGGAATTATAAGAGATTGTGGTCCACTAGACACAGGTGTTGGGATTCTAATCCAGGACCTTTGGAAGAATGGTATATGCTCTTAACCCTTGAACCATCTCTCCAGCACTATTTAAGTTGCTTCTGTAGGGGTAGTTTATAACAACGAATAGGAAAAGCAACTAGACACTCGCTGTCAGGTGCTGTTCTAATTACTTTACAAATATTAACCCATTTCCTTATGAGAATCACTCTACATTCTTACTACATTCTCCCTTTGTTACATGAAAAAGCTGAGTACCCAAAGTCATTTCCCTAATAGCAGAGATGAGATTTCAGCTTGTGTTTCAGGACTCAACCACATTCCTGTACTTATTTTCACTAACAAAGTAGTAGTACACCTTGAGCATACCAATCTAAAAGTAATCTGAAATCCAAAATGCTCCAAAATTCCAAATTTTAATAGAAGTTTTATAATATTTCTGACTTCAAATTGGCAGATCAGTTACAGCTCTGAAACTATTTCAAAATCAAAAAGACTCCAAAATATGAAACACTCTGATCCAAAATGTGGGGAAAACATACTGAGCTGCAGTGACAACAGCAATAAGACCATCATCATATTAAAGCAAAAATAGATTAATGATTGACCTTGAACTATATGAATGCCTGTGTATAGATTTGTATAGATTTTACAAGGAAAAGTGAAAATTTGACCATTGAGTGACTGCAAGAATAAAGTTACCTTCTGTTTTTCTCTATAATCTTCTCCTTCAAACTTGTACAAACTTTGTTCAAGGTCCATTCTAAAAGTTCTTAGAGATGCTTCTCCCATTTTTTGCATGCGTTCATTCATCTCTGCAGTCTGAAGTTGAATAAGTTGAAATGAGAAAATTATCACTAAATTAACTTGCAAAAAATGCGAACTTCCTATTTATCTGGAAGTCAGGTTTGTCATGAAATATCTACTCAGCTAAGTTACAAGGGGAAAATGTTCAACATTAGGGGCTCAGCAGTTTAGATTCCTTGTTGCTCTCGTGGAGGACTCGAGTTCGACTCCCGGCACCACATGGAATTCAAATCTCCAATTCAACTTTACTCAGCAGCCTTTTCTATCCTCCAGGAACACATGCAGAAAAACGCCCGGACATATTACATTAAATTAAATTAATTTAATTTTAAAGACCGCATGCTGAGAGAGGAGAAGAGAGACAACATACTGTTCTTGAGATGACGGTTAACTCTGTAATAGAGTACAGACATACAACATGCAAGGCCCTACCTTCTATCTCCAGTCACACACCACACACACACACACACACACACACACACCACAAAATAATCCTAAAATTTTAACTTGTCTCGAGTATTTAAAAAAATTAAATGTTCCATTCCCAAATATTTTCACTCAGGCCTTCTTTAAAGGACGTTTATCAATGAAGATGTAGCCATATTATAATTTCCATTGTGTATCTTTAATGAGAGAAATAGCTAATGCTATCATAAAGGCAAAGTTAAACCAAAACGCTTTTTGCATATGGATATACAGCACAGTAACACAAGATTGTTCTATTACCTTTAAAACAAAAGCATTTTGAGAATCAAATTGCTTTTGAGAATCAAATGAAAAATTCAATAGTTTTTTATTCCCAAAGGTTCATGAGCTGCAAGTTTGGTCCCCATTGTAATGGTATTGAATTGGTGGAATGTCAAAAGATGTTGATTATGTGTTTAAGAGAGATTAAGGGTTTTCCCTCAGGAGTAATTTAGGTCTCATAGGACTGCTCTCTCGGTCTTGTGAGACTAGATTAATTGACATGACAGTGGGTTGCTATGAAATCGGGCCAGCTTCTTCTGCACACACACTCCCACCACATAATGCTATCCTCCATAAAGCCCTTACTGGAAGACAAAACTAGCACCAGGCTCTTGTACTTTCCAAAATCTCTTATCCCTATAGTCAGCCTCAGGTATTATGTTATAGGAAGACCGAAAGAACTGATATAATCCCGAACATGTTTTAAAAGGACCATAGATATGCAATCCACAAAATCTACGCAATGATTAAGTGAAAAGGCAAACAACCCAGGTTTTTTTACCGAGTAAATTATGGGGAAAATACACATAGAGAGGATGGGCACACGGAAAACATAACCATCAATTGCAATGTACAGACTTCACTTTTTAAAAATAAAAAGGAAAATATTTCTTTAAGTACAACAAACTAGCTATGTAACACTTAAAAGTTTGAGTAGTTACTGGATATTAAATATCTGGTGCTATTAAAAATGCATTTCTGGTGAGGCAAAGCTGCGATGTTTTTTGTTTTTTTTTTTTTTTACTTTTAGTGTAATTGGTGATAAACACATGGAACTCATTGCACCATTCTATCTACCTTTTCTTATGCTTGAAATTAGCCATAATTTGCTGTAGAAAGGGCACATTAGACACAAAATTGCAATAATGTTAAACCACTTACGGTGATTTGACAAAGAATGATTTAATGTTTCACACAATGTTTACAAAACACTTTCCAATAGTGCACTGTACCTTAATACAGTGCAAAAAAAATATCACAAAATGCAGTCTTTCCATGTGCAATTACATACAAAATATACAATATTTTCAAGAAGACATAAATCGCTTAATTTTAAATGATGCGCCTAGTGTCACTGAGCTAAAAAAAATTAAAGCCCTCCCCAATGCCTGCAAACACAATTCTACAAGTTCTTAGGAAGAACCTTGTCTGGAACATGCAGTTCAGCAGAAATACAACACGTATGTGGAAATATGTGGATTGTAAATAACCCATCTTGAAAATACAATGCTATTTTGAACTAACCTTCTTTTCCCCTCTCTCCAGAATAGTTGTAATATCTTCATCTGTCAGCTCACTTTCTTTACAGGCAAAAACATGGGTGGCTCCATGGCGTATCATTTGCAACATTTCCTCTTTTGCCAGCTTGTTAGATTGTTGGTCAATGAGTCTTCCTGATGGCAGATAAAATGAAACACATTCAATTCTATGTCAAAGAAAGTACAGTATAATGGTTCTGATCAGACACTATTGAATTAAATCATACATAAAGCAGCTTTATGAGAAACGTTTGTAGCTCAAATTCTAATTGGTCTTCTTAATAAAAAACGCAGAGTCAGATATTAAGAGGTGAAAGCTGAAAGATCAGAGAAACAGAGCAGCCAGCCACTAGTTCTTACCTCTACGAAGTCCTCAGACCAAATGGTATCCTGTCTCTAGGACTCCTCGGATGAATGCTGTCTCTACGAAACCTCAGACTGAATCCTGACCTCCTGTCTCCTCCTACTTTATATTCTTCCTCCACCCAGCCATATCTCTTCTTGTCTCCACCTCCCTAGTGATTGGATTAAAGGCATGCGATCCCCAAGTACTGGCATTAAAGGTGTGAGCCACCACCTCCTGGCTCCGTTTCTCTTTTAGACTGCCTCAATCTAGTGTGGTCCAGGGTGGCCTTGAACTCGCAGAGGTTTCTGCTTCCAGAGTGCTGGAATTAAAGGTGTGTGCCACCACTGTCTGGCCTCTATGGCTAACTAGTGGCTTGCTCCACACTCTGATCTTCAGGCAAATTTTATTTGTTAGATCACAAACAAAATATAAGCACAAACATTGGTGAGTTTAGTGTTATTTATTTAATAAACGACTACCAGTTTTTCTATCACATTTTCTAGTTCACTATTTCAGTTAAAAAACTAAGTCAGAAATACTTTTTTGTGTTCCAATCTCATTTTCCACATAACGTCACCTTATGGAAAAGATTCTCTAGTGTGTATTTGTTAAAAATTTCCAGAAGCCAATATTTATCTGTTAAATAGCATAAGGTACTGCAAAATTCATGTCATTGGCATTCAACTATAACCTAGTGATCTTATTTCATATGCTGAAAGCATAGGCTTAAATTTGAACAATTACAACTGGCCTAGAGGGATGGCTCAACCGTTAAAGGCTAGGCTCACAACCAAAAAAAGAAAAAGAAAGATTACAAACATATTTTCAAAGATTATTTACATATAAATAACATTATACAGATTGATAAGTTTATATTTGAAAATATACATTTACAAATATAAATACAATAAGAATCAACTTAAAAAGAGGCCATTGATTTGAAAGAGCAAGGAGGGGTATGCATATAGGAGGGTTTGGAGGGAGGAAAGGGAAAGAAGAAATGATGAAAATATATTAAGCTAAAAATCAAATGGAAAAAAAGATTATTGAAAAGTAATCTCCTTTGAAGGAAATTAAAAGTGTTTTGCTCCTCCCCCAATTAATGAAGTCCACATAGAAATACCTTGCTGTATAACAATTGAATCAAGTCTCAGTTTTATCTCAGCTCTCTCTACAATCCTCTCTTCCACTGTGTTTTCAGTAATGAGACGGAAGACTCGTACCGGCTTCTTCTGACCGATGCGATGTGCCCGATCCTGGCAGAAAGAGTCCCACTGTAAGATGCTGGAGACTATAGACAAGACTTGGACATATAGCTACAGTGCTACAAATATCCAAAAATAAAACTCAGACTTCAACCTCTCTCTATGCCTGTCACTTGTGAAAGGTGGATGATGAATGTTAAGAATGTCCAAAGACTTCTGGGAACAAAGAAATCTCAAAGTGTGCTGTGCTACTACTGGGAATCTTCCAGAATTTCACAAGGCAAAACCCTTTTAAGATGAGGACAAAAAGTTACTAAGTAACTTTCGCTAAATGTGACCATCTCTAGGACAAACAAGGTGTTTTTGCAGTCAGGAACAAAGTAGTTCGCAAGGGCTGCTATGTTGACAAAGTCTGCTTTATCTCACATCCATCAAGCCGTTCTTTCTGCTTACCAAGGCAATTCTGGGATACATAGTAAAGGCTCATGAATATTAATGAGATCTTCATAATTTTACTATACTAGAATTGCTCCAGTGGTTTATAATTAGCAAAGGTGGCAGGTGGCAAATTCTGGCAAAATATAAGCATGTGGGGCGGGTGTATTTAAAAGGCAGAAACTAACAGAACGAGGGGGAACAGAGTGGAGGTGGGGAGAATCAAAGAAACAAGGTAGCAGACGGTCCTTGTAGTAAATACAAAAACACTACAGTCAGTTTTTAAATGAAGCACATTCGAAGATCATTTAATGCTCTACAAATCTCTAAAAATTTAAACTCCAAACAACACTCCCTGAATGACCAGGCTATGATAAATGGTAAGAGAAACAGTTTCGTGGGTGGGGGTGTGGATGTGTGTGTGCACACATGCACAAAATTATTTGCAGAGGTGAAAAGATGGTTTAGTGGGGGAAATGCTAACTGCTCAAGCATAAGGTCCTGAGACAGTTTGAATCTCTAGCAGCCACATAAAAGCCAGGTATGGGGGCGCATGCACACTGGCAACTCTAGAACTGGGAGGCTGAGACAAATGGATTTAGGGTGGGGGCAAGGCAGGCACACTGACCAACCTTGCAAGTCAAAATGGCAAGCTCCAGGCTCAGTAAGAACCCGTCTCAAAAAAGACAGAGAAGCAATTGAGGAAGACATCCTTATGTCATCTCTAAACTTCCAGGTATGTCCTCTCAGGAGTGCACATGTGCACAGGCACACAAGCTTTCCAATGACGTCCTCAAACAGCACATTTTCCTTTTTCACACTTTTTACCTTCTCTTTCCAATTATTTTATCATAAGAGTGAAAATCTGACCTTTTCTAATTTTAGTACTAACGGTTTCTTTAACAGGGTGTAACCATGCAGCCCCGGCTGTCCTGGAACGCTCTCTGTAGACCAGGTTCACCTCAAATTCAGAGTGCTGAGATTAAAGGCACACGCCACCACACCTAGCCTAAAGACTTTAATATATATTTGTTACAAAAATAATGAGATTTCTTGTTACTACTTCTTATTCAAACAAACTCAGGAAGCCTCCTTAATACTCAAGAATAGGAAAATGCTGATATCTCTATTCTGTGATAAAAGCAAAACTATAGGCATTTAAGTTTTACACTTATATTTGAGATATATATGCTGATTTTCATCTTTTTTGTCTTTGCAATTAAGTGAGAAACTTTCATTCTAACTTCTATGAAATTCCTCCAAAGTTGTACACTTTAATCATTCATTAACTTTGTGCTATACAAACAATAGTATTCTGAGCTACAGTAATTTCTTGATATTGTTCAACATTACTAACCATAGCTTGTAGATCAACCTGTGGATTCCAGTCTGAATCATATAGGATAACCACATCAGCACTTGCCAAGTTAATTCCAAGACCTCCAGCCCTTGTACTCAGCATAAAGATGAATTTGCTGCTATTAGGAGCATTGAAGGCCTCTATCGCTCCCTTTTTTAATTAACACGGGAATATAAAAAGAGAAAAATGAATTACATTCCAAATCTTAAGAAACAGAAAATACTTTTATACTTTATATGTAATATTCTCCATAACCTAATGTTTTATAATATTCTTCAAAGCTATACTGTGTATGCAGTTGGAGAAAAGATGCTTTTATAAAAGAGTTTGCATATGCTATCCAATAGAGACAGACAGAGTGCAATCATACAAACAAGTTTAACTAATCAAATAATAATTCATTTGCATTCTTTGAAAATAATAGTAAAAATGTTCTAATTGATTAATAAGTGAAATATAACTTTGAGTAAAATGATAGAAACATCAATATCACTTCAAGGACTGATAAACAAGGTGTGGGTAAGGTCAATCAAGAGAGAGAAACTTGAGAAATGCAAAGGACAGTAAGATGGTCAATATCACTACAATGACAAAGGGAAAATGGGCAAATAATCAGAAAAATCAGAATAACATGTTCAGAGATATTTAGTAAAGAACCCTAGAAATTAATATATTGTTAACATCCTCTATACAAAGATCTGATAGAAATTAATTAGGAAAATGCTGACCAGTAGAAAAAGGAACCTGAAAAGTGAACAGCTTCAATTTACAGAATAAATACACACACACACATACACACACACATATGTGCATGTGTATGTGTGTGTGTATATATATATATATAAAGCAAGAATAATGTTCATCTCTCGCTAGTAATAAAATAGATGCAAACAAATAATATAATGACATTTTAAGGATAAAAAATGATAATACTCAATCTTCATGAGGGAGCAGAGGGATATGGCTTCTGAGGGTATAAATTGGAACAATCTTTCTGGAAAGCAATTTGGCAACATGAACCAAGAGCCTTAATAATGGTCATACCCTTTGACCCAGTAATTCCACTTCCAGGAACTTATCCTAAGGAAAAAATGAGAGATGTGCACAAGATTTATGTATAAGGACTTTCACTGTAGCATTATTTACAACAGTGAAAACTTGGAAACAACCTAAACCATCAACAACAAGAGAACACATTACATAGAGTAATACATCATTAAGGTTAAATATTTTCCTGAAACTATTTATAATGATTTTTTATACTAACAAAGAACAATATATCCTGATTAAAAGTACCAGAATACTGATATATATATAATATATATTATATATATACTATATATATGTGCATGTATGTATGTGTGTGTGTGTATGTAGGTATGGTATCAATTTCTTACATATTATTTCCCATAAAGATTTCCCAGAGAAAACTGATTTTGCAAATCTCACTCAGTACTCATATATTACTTTTATAGTCATAAAATGCACATATATGTTAATGCAATAGACACATATGGTCTAAGCTCGAGGCAGAGAAGGTGACTAGCATAACCACAGTTGGTAGAGCATGAAACTGTATAGCATAGAATACAATAAGATTGGTGATAGACACTCTGGTGTAGAGGAAATAGCAAAAATCTGGGAGTGAAGCATAACTCAGCTATATATGCATATGTATATGTATGTGTGTATAGATAGATAGATGATAGATAGATAGATAGATAGATAGATAGATAGATAGATAGATAGATA